TGCCAAAAACAAAAAGACTAGAAAGTCTTGAAACAAGACTAAGACTAGAAAGGCGTTGATAAGAGTGAAGAAGGCTTCACTCTTGCCTCCATATATACTATCTAACTAAGAGTCATGTGGCGATGTCTTGTAGGACCTCCAACATGTGTTGACTTTGGTAGCCACATGTCTTATCTTACAAGACAAGTTATCTATGTATGCACTACATAGTTGACTTGTTCTACAAGCTACTATACGAAGGTAACTAGTTCCACAAGCTATCAATACATGGTTAGCTTTTTAGCCAAGTTTCTAACCTACGAACACATCTTAAGTCAAAATCGTGTCTATGAAGCTTCTAGGTAGCTCTTTTAGAAGAATTTATGAAATTATTCTATTTAACCTTTTTCTATTTAATCATATAAGTAACTATTGAGGTAAATATATATGTTCGTGATAGTAGCTGTTCAGACTTCGAGGTGCTGAGGGTGCAAACATTGCATGTTTATATTTTATGATAGAATCTAACGGTAATTTTACCATCGTTGTGCCCTTTTGAAAAGAAAATACATTTGCTCTAGCCATGGTCATCATATTTTTAGTTTTCCAAGTTAAAGATTTTTTAAGAAAAAATCATCTATCTCGCAAGATAGTATGTGTTGTTGCAGAATCAATTAGCACATCATTTGATTCATTATTAGAGGTTTTGTCATTCATATAAGCCTCTAAGTCATCAATACCAATTGAATCCATCGACGTATCTATGGTATGAACTTCACGAGCCTAAGCTCATAGTTTCTTATTTTCTTGGAACATTTTAATAAAATATTCAAAAGTACAGCACGCATGTGCTAAATGTCCAATCATTCCATACTTATGGCAAGAATGCATCTCGGATTTTTGTTTTTTACTATAATTAATAGTAGAACGTTTACTCTTTCTATATGGATAAAAATGGTCATGACTATGATTACCCTTATACTTATGAGCATGTTTCCCATGTTTATATAATTTTTTCTTAGACTTTGAAATATTAAGTGCATAAGATTTTGGAACTGTGGTTCTAATAGGACGAGCTTCAGCATTGCACAAGAGTAGCTTATTTTGCTTCTCTGCAAGAAATAGATATGACATGAGATCAGAATCACTCTGAAATTTCATATTCCCGTATTATGGTGTAAGCACAACAAATACAAGAGGAAATGTAGAGAGAGTTTTCTCAATCATTTCTTCTTCAAAGATGTTTTGTCCACATAATCGTAATTGTGAGACAATACTATATATTTCACTATTGCAAGTATTTAAATGTGATAAATTATGACGTGTGCCTAGAAAGAGAAAGGTCTTTTGATGATCAAACCAAGATTTAAGTTTCTTCCAAAGTTCTCCACGATTTTGCATTTCCAAATATTGATGTTGTAATGTAAGTACAAGATGATGACAAAGGAAAAGAAGGGCTTTCCAACAAATAGACAGAGGAATAGAAATACATATTCTAGGAGATTCTTCAAACATAATAACATTCGAGAATTGTTCTGCATAAATATTTACTTTTGCCATTTTTGCCCATAATAGATAATTGTTTCCATCTATTGTCAATGGTGGAAATAAAAGAACTTGAAATGTTGGGATGCACTCGTAATAGTGAGAACAATAGAAAAAGCAGTAGTAGAAGTAACAACACAAAATGTGGTTACAGCTGAAATAATGGAACAGACAACGACCTTTTCAGACATGTCAAACAATGCTTCAGTATGGTTACCGGCCCCACCTCCACCCAAAAGTCCCAAACCCATTAATAAGCAGAATCTACTGATTGACAGGAAGGAAGGAAGGAAGGAAGGGGGAAGCCGCGTGGCGCTGAACACCGTGAGAGTGAGAGACGTTCCGTGTCCAGAGCAGAGTAGCAGCCCATCCATCCTGGACCCTCTCCTCGCCACAACTAACTGTGTTGCTCTTGCTCGATCCCCTCTGCCCACTTCGATCCTCGTCCGCGTCATCGTGTGCCTCGTCTTGCTGGTATGCTCTGTTCCCTCCCTGCTGGATCTGCAGCGTTTCGTTTGTGTTTCGTTTGGTTGTTTGTGCTCGTCGTGTTGATGTCTGTGGTGGGAGAGGCATGTTTCGTCGACGATTCGGAGGGTTTGGTGGTGGAGTTGGGCTTGAGGGGCGGGATGGGGTCGGGCACCGTGGGCAGGAGGCATTCCTTTGCTGCAGATCTGCATCCGTGGCGGTGTCTCGGGTGCAGCGCGATCGCCGGTGCTCGCGTTGTGCGTTTTCCACACTTAGGGTTGGACGGGGGTGGGGGTGGGGGGTACTGGTAGGGGTTGAGCATGTGGTGTTTGGATGTCGGGGTTGCTATTTGGCGCAAGAACCGTGGTGAGGCGTTCATCACCGCAGTGTGTCGGCAGAGCAAGGGTATTCTTAGCTGCATTTTGGTGCTGCGGTTCCGGCTACAGAGGCTTGGCTGCACAGAAGGTTGTTAGGGGGGCCTTGGAAGTCGTGGTCTTGGAAGATGCCAAGGCAACCACAGGAGTGGAGAGACTTTCCCAGTGGTTGATTTTCATGCTGCGGATGGGTAGGATTGAGGTGCGATTTTTCTGTTGGGTAGCTCAAAGAAGGCGTGCGTGCCTAGCAGCCGAACCGGGCTGCGCAGGAACCGTGCATGCACGCGCGAACTGGCGAGCAGTGGTCGGCGTGTGAAGCAATTGTTCAGGATGGTGGAGGACAGGTGAATGAAGGAGGGAGTGTCGTGCTGGGCAGGGCGTTTGCGGGCTGTTGACGTCTGCGTTGGGTATTTGAGAAGGTCATTGGGGGACTGTGCGGAGTGCAATGCTGGTAGGGGTTGGTAGCTGAAGTGAAGTGGTTCTGGGAGTGGCCGCGAGTACGGTGGGTGGTAGGTCCGCAGCACGTAGGAGACGGAATCCACGCGTCCGATGATAGGTGGAGCTGGGTGGTTATTGGAAGTGTGTGATCCGGCACATGCTGATGGCAGTACGGTGCGAGTGCATGCAGGATTTTGCGAGGCGGAGATAGCGCAGGCATGGCTTACGATGGGTTCTCCGGCGGAGCCGATGACCTGAGTGGGTACAGCGGGTTCGACGATTCGGCGCGGTTTGACAGCTCGAGGTTGGAGTCTGCGCGATTCGACAGTTCGTTCCGAGCAGCGGACGATTACAAGCCGGATCCGTTCGGGCTGGATGACAACAGGGAAGGGTTCGATGAGTTCAAGGGCGCTTCGGACGGGTACGGTCACCCGGCTCCAATATACGAGAACGAGGAGTCGGGCGGTGGTATGCCCAGCACGTATGGGGCAGGGTATGCAGGTGCGGAGTATGCGTCGAATCCGACGGATGAGGGAAGCTACCACAAGGAGCTAGACGAGGATTTGTTTGGTGGAGACGGTGGCGGCGGTCCAATGCTGCCCCCGCCCGAGGAGATGCAGGAGGAAGGCGCCGTGCTTCGGCAGTGGAAGAGGTGAATTACACATGCAGCCCTGAGCTCTTGAATGGTAGAGGGCGGACGCGTCAATTGTGAGGAGTGGGGGTGGGTGGATGCTCACCGTTTGGGTTTGGATTGGTTGATGTGACATCAGGGAGAACGCGCAGCGACTGCAAGAGAAGGAGCGTGAGGAGAAGGAGAAGCTGCAGCAGATCATCGACGACGCTGACGACTACAAGGCGAAGCACAAGGCGAAGCGTGAGGCGAACCGGGAGGCGAGGATGAAGGAGAATCGCGACAAGGAAACGGTACGTGAGTTTGTAGTCGGAACGTCATGCACTGGGTGAACGCCAGGAGGTCGGGGAGGTGGGAGTAGGTGTAGTTGTGTGGGGAGGGGTGGACGGGTTGATGGCTTGTCTGGAATGGCGCGGCGGCAAGGGTGTTGTGGATGGGGAGCCGTTGATGTGGTGTGCGCTTGGCTGACGCGTCCCGTGTGGTGGGTTGCTCAGGTGTACCACGCCGACCAGGAGCACTTCCACAAGACAGCCGGCAAGCAGTACTGGAAGGCTGTGACGGAGCTGGTGCCAAAGGAGCTGCCAGCTTCTCTGGAGCCCAAGAGCCGGCAGATGAAGGAGAAGAAGGAGAAGAAGTCGACATTCGTGGCACTTCCGGGGCCGAAGCCGGGCAAGCCCACGGACTTGGGGCGGTTCAGGCAGGTTCTTCTGAAGCTGAAGCACAACCCTCCCGCGCACATGATTCCTCCTCCTCCAGCAGCGCCGAAGCCAGAGGCCAAGGAGGGTGAGAAGGGGGCGAAGGGTGAGGCGGGGAAGGAGGGAGGGAAAGGGAAGGAGAATGCTCCAGGTGCCCCCGGAGCAGCGGTGGAGGGTGCGGAGGTGCCGGAAGCTCCTGCGACGCCTGAGCAGGAAACAGAGCCGGTGCTAGTTGGCGCAGCGTGAGGGTTTTGAGGTGGTCTGGTGTGACTGTTATTCGGCAGGCTCGAGTAGAGACGAAGGGTAGGGCTGTGCAGGTAGTGGAAGTTGAAGCATGACGTAGGTGGGTACTGCAGCATTGGAGAGATTAGTTTTAGGTTTTTGCTAGTTGGCACACTATGCGAATGGACTGGAAGTGATGCACCCTTCGTCAAGGGAGCTTCAGGTGCAAGCTTGCGGAAGTGCGCACATTGTTGTATATTCATTTTTTTCGTTGATGTTAGCGTGATGTTCGTGGGAGTAGCGGTTGCTACTTTGGAATCAGCGGGAGCCTGAGATCGTGGAGAGTTGTGAACATGGTTGGGTGGTTGGCATTGTCGTGGTCCAGTCCAGAACCCTTTTTCGTGCTGCCGGAAAGAGGCGGAGCTTCTGGTACATGAAATGGTTTTGTGGTGAGCAGTGGGTAAAACGATAAGTGACATGTCGGGGTCTGGCAGTGCTTGCGGTCAGTTTAGGAAGTCGATGCCGAAGGCGTCATCATGTCAACGATTAGGAGGGTGGCTTAAGGAACGAGGCGTTTTTTGCGGTGTTGAACCTTGAGCGCGAGTTGGTGCACGCACCAGAGACGGGGCAAAGTTGTTGTGCATGCAAATGTCGCGACGAACAGCGTGAGCATTTTATTACCGGGGGTGGAGAGTTGTGGAATAGTAGTCCACCACCCAGTGATCTGTCACAACAGCCAAAAGCTCAACAGCATTCGGCGGGGCCTGCTCAGCAGACCTTGCACCTCTACAGCTTCCTCCTCCTCCTCCACCACTCCATACCCTAGGCTCTTGTACAACGCCAAGGCGCCGCTGTTATCCTCCTCCACATGCACGAATAGCACTTGAAGCTCCATTTGCTTGGCTACCTGCAGCGTGGCAAAACGACAAGCCAGGGTTGGTGTACACGTTCTTGATGATGAGCGAACATGCAAAGGAACTTGGTCGAACGCAGCGTCGAAACACGGCACGACATTTTCTCTTATTAAAACGACGAGCAGCAGCTAGCAACAAGTGACCGACGCGCAACTGCGCATTTTGCGAATCAGATGCAGTCGTGCGGCCAGAGAGCCTGGGTTCGTGTTTCCTGGTGCAGCCACCCGCTTCGAGCGTGATGGGCACGGAATTCGGTCCACATCAGTCGGCCGTTGCGAATTCTCACAGGACCACAAAGCCCCTGGCGGGCTCCGAGTTCTCGATCCATTGCACGCGGAAAGTGGATAGTGAGGATTTGCCATACATACCTTGAGAGCTGCCACCATGAGAGCCTTTCCAACCCCCATCCTTCTGGCCGCCGCAATGACACCAAGGTTGAAAATGTACGCTTGGTCGAACGTGTCCTCATGTTCCACCGGGAAATAATCCGTTCCGCTATTCCTGCCCTTCTGGACCTGCGCCAACACCCACAGCCGCGCATCCTCTGTCAAAACAAGCCGTTCCTATTCAGCTCCACAATCCACCCGAGTACTTCGCACTGATACCCCTCACCACAATTACCAGAAAGTCCGGCTGGGTGATTTGTGCCGGCGGTGCACATCGGACGGAGGAAGCTGCACTGCAGATTGCCTGCCACTCCCTCAAACGCCCACTGCCTTCGCAAATCCGACCCTCCGAAGAACCAAAAACACACAATCCCCGACTGCCTAATGCAAGCTTACCGACTACAACAATCGCGCAGCGACGAGGTGCGTCAACCGCGGACACTGCAAATCATGGAGGCTCTCTATCTGAATCACGACTGCCCGAAAAGGACGCAGAGTATACTCTGGCTTTGGAAGCAAACTTGGTGTTGCAAGCCATGAGATTGCTAGCTTTGACACCCACCCGATTCTTCCGTTGCTGGGCTCTATGTGCCACAGCATGGAGCTGGAAGGTGACAAGGTTGACATCTGCAGTGGCCTTGGTTCCTGTTCCATCCTTCCAGTCATCCCACCCCCTCTCAGCCATCGGTTCATCGCTTTCCTCTGCTCGTACCTCTCTTATTTGCGAATGCATAACGACGTCAGTTCGTGATGGACTCTGCAATGCGGCCATTCGGGGCACATTGCCTCACGCACAGCTCGGGAACGGAGCTTCACAAGACCAGGGGAGGGGATGTGCCTTACCTGTACGTCAAGGGTGCCGATTGCAACCAGTGCTCCCGTGGAGCTGCTGTCGATCGAAGGTACAGGCGGCGGAGCGAGGAGGCACGACGTAGCAACGCCCCCGCCTATCGATTCTACGCTAGATTGCCGGCACACAGCTAACAGACACTTCACACGCATGCCCAGCGCTTCGAACTTGCTCTCCTGCAGCCATTTCGCACCCATCCACACATGATCCTTGGTTGCGTCACGAGCAGGAAAGAAAATCAGACGAACACACGGACAACCATCAGTCCATGAACTCGGATGGTTGCGCAGACAAGTACCCTGGTGAATTCCGATTTCCGCCTCGTTCTCAGCAGGTCGTCGATGATCAAGTCGTTTGCCACGCGCGCCCCGACGGCTTCGATGCCAGCCAATGTCATGTCCACTTGGGGGTACGAATAGAATATCTGCGCTCGAAGTGTGGCAGCCGCCAGGAGCTCCTCGGGGGTGGAGGCCGCGATCACCCAGAACTTGTCCTCGGAGGTCAGCTCGGCCTCCAAGTACGTCTTGGCTGGAGAGAGGAGAGACCGCGGGGTGGTCGCGGAAGGGCGTCGCGAGATAGATGGTTTGGTTTCATCCGGCAGAAATTGTTGTCCGGAACACCGACATTGCCCGTGTCTCCAGTTCTTCACCCTGCTGCACAAAGCGGAAAAGTATGCTCATCGTACAATCGTGAGAGCGCCAGTACGGTGCAGGGCGGCATCCGCGACCGAGCTGAAACTTACAGACCGAAATGAACACTTGGGTGATCGAGTTTCGACATGGCAACATCTGCGCAATGATTGCAAGAGGCGCTTCCGCAGAGCCTGTCAGGAAGCCGGTGTACGGTCCATGATTTGAGGCTACCCGAGCAACAGGGCTTTTCTGTGAACGTTTACTCGGAACCAAACCTCCCATGGTCTGCACTGACGCGGACGAAACAAATTGCCCGTGGTGAGAGAATCAGAGGGCTCCGGAGCTTACCAATCTCGGCTTGCCGCCCTCCACTGTCTGTCGTTGCAATTTCGAGCTCCTACAAATTGAAAAGTATCCTTGCGTTCGAACTCCGCCCATGGACTGCTGCATGCATTGCGCGGCTCCCTCCTGGCGCTGCATTGCGGTGCCCCAGCACCCGGGGCACAACGGCCGAGCGTGTGAGGGGAGAGTGCCGAAATTGCCATGACAGGGGTACGCTCCCGACCTCGAACACGCAACGAGTCCGGAAAGCTTCACAGCAGCGCGCTCCTCGAACAGCGCCCAGACGGCATTTCCCTCCAGGCGGTGCAAAATTGGCCCGCCAGTCCGATTCTCATCGCTGGAAGAAACCGCCGCAACAGCCCGTGTGGCTCTCGCACTCGCGTGTTTGCGCCCAGTCGTTGCGGTTTCCGAAATCCAAAGCGCTTCAGGAGGCGACAGCACTTTCAGCTGCAACAGGAATCCGCTCCAATCACAGAGCGAGCCTACAGAAACCTAAAATCGGAACAAGGCAGCGCTTCGTGCAATCGCCGGCAGCGTGGTCATATCCGCAGAAGACCCATGTTGCGCGGGGAACACCAAGTATCGCAACCCAAATCCCGAACACAACCGACCGCCACAAGCAGTTACGGTTTGTCCGAAATAGGACTCGCCACAGGAACATGTGCTGCCACGCAGCGTGCAAACTAGACGCGGAATTGAAGGTGCTGCTCAGGCAAGGAGCTACCTGCATCCATCCAGAGTGCTTCGAAGCCACACGGAAAGACTAGAATGCTGCAAACCAACAAGGAGCCCGCGCCATTGCATTGCACAGCATGTCCAGGCTTGAGCTAAACTCGAATTGAGGAGCCCTGAAGGCTTAGCTTTGCTGCTAGTGAGGAACGTGACAGGGCAGAAAGATTTGGAGGTCGTGAGCCAATGAGATGCGCAGCAGTGGTTTTGTCCGCGTGGGGTCATGCGAGTGAGGGTGGATCACCAGTGCGTCTTTGCAGTTGGGGCGCGGATGTGAGGTGCACGTTCGGTCCATGTGGATTGCTTTCTGGTTTGTTTATGTTGGCGACTAGAATGGAGTGAGGTGTTGAAATTCTCTGCGGATTGCATTGTGATGAGTGCTTTTTGAAGCTATTGGAGGCGGATCGTCTGCTCGATTGGTTTCGAAATGGTTGCAACGAGTTTGGTTGCTGATATGGTTTGCCCCTGGGGAAGGCATATTTGGATTTGCCGGTCACCTCGAGTTTCAGATTGGTTGAGATTTATTATCCTAACCCAGTATTGCAGATGAACTGTGTCCACTAGCTAGTTGTCGCTACACCCGAACTTGCGGGTAGGGATTAATCCTGATCAGGGTGCGGTATATTTTTTATGGGGTTGAAGTTATTAGCATGTGTGCACCAGGAGTTATCATCGAGATTGTTGTGGAGGTTAGTGTTTATTGCAAAGAGTTTGGGGGTAGGCGATCGTTTAGAAGTGTACTCCCGAACACTGGTTCACATTCTCATGTTAGTGGCTTGAATTTATTTGGCTTTGTTCTTGAACACAAGCACAGTGAATGATATTTATGAGGATGAGTAGCGATAGTGGCATGAAGATCATGCTGGGAACTCGTTCCGATTTGATATAATATTGATCAGACACTGCTGTGAACTGGTCAGTGTAGCGAACGGTGTAACGCCAACTTCACCTATCCTAAATCGTGTCATCACTCTCATCATCGCTGGCTTGTCTTGTGAGCACACTCTGGCTCATGTACTACATACGTGAATACAGGACAAACAATGGCAAATTTCTTGCACGCTCAAGTTGATGCGGTATGCATTCCAAGGCCCGTTCCTACAATAGCTTCGGTGAAAATCTCACTGTAGTGAAATTGTAGGTAGCAAAATCCACCCTAATATGGTATGTTACATCAAGAATTTATTAGTAAGGAGTATGCCTTCGCTTCGGACGAGCAGCCTTCTTCGCAACCAACCCACTGGATACCCAAGCCGTGCTCCTCTCATGCGCATAGTTATCTTCGGTCCAGCTACATAAACGACCATCCTCACCACCAGTCCAGCAGAACAGGCCTTCCAAAGTGGCGCCAGATTCTCTTGCACTATCGGGAGGAGACCACACAGATCGAACCACGCCATTATGACCACCTGTCAAGACGGCGCTGGCTGGCCCAACCGCGGGCACACTTGTGCCAGTATTCGGAGTTGGAATGTGAAGAGGAAAATATCCTATAGTACCTTCTTGAGTTCCAGCTAACAGCCAGATTGTATCAAAAGCTGCTACGTAGCAACAGCGTATCAAATACTCCACCTACATAATCACAGTGAAGGACTAGCTCAGAAATTGACGTTTCACAAACATTCTCTTAGGGGAAGAAAATCAAAAATCTTTGGTGGTATAGGACTCATATACATGATAATACAAATGATGTAAGTCATGCATAAGCAAAACGGGCATGCTTACAGGAGAGAAACTCCAGTTGCATGAGGCATGAGCTCGCATTTCACTGAAGTCCGCTTCCATAATAGCCTCCTCCAAGTTCCAAGAACTGCCTCAAAATGATGAAACTAACACCATTAGGTTTCAATTCTGAACACGAACATTATCACATGTCAGGACTTGCCGCTGAAACTTAGAAAGTTACAAGATCTAGAATTTGAACAATACCAATGCGCTATATTGCAGAGCCGAGATAGGTGTTCACGTCAAATTTTATCATTCTCACATTTGCAGTGGAAGCACTGAAGCCCCAAGAAGTAGCACATAAGTCCCAAGAAGGAAGCCCACCTCAATGTTTCGATATGTGTCTGGCACCATAAGCGTTCGCAGTTCTTTCCATAGAAGCCTATCTTTGCCACAGAAGTTCCGACACTCATTACCTGAAAAATCATGATAATTAAACCTCTTCAGTGGCTAGATGACCGTCGTAGTCGTGCAAGCAAAAGGATCACCCAGGGGTTCCAAACAGTTCATGCATATTAAATTATGACGCTAAAACACTTATTCACCACTCAAATCGCCATTGTACGACGATGAGGGAATAGGTGGAAATTCTCACGGAATCCATCCCTTCGTCGTCATTGATGTCGCCTTTCGTATCGAAAACGCACATCAATCCATCCACTGAGGCGGACACCAGCTTTTCTTTCTTATTAGGATGGAAGCGAACCTACACAGACAAATGAAAACCTCTAAGTAAGGCCATGGATTCAAGGAGCCGGAATATTTGTAAATTCTCTACACGATAAAATAGACAAATCTAAGCTGCACAAGTTTTCCGATCATTCCGATTCCACCTGGGCTAGCACTTAGCTCAAACGTTTCGCATGAGGTTCCCATGAAAGATGCTCAAAACACAAACACTGTTAATCCAACAATTTCTACTGAGAAGCTTAGATAACCTGCGTAACGGCCTCTGTATGGCATTCATTCAACATGGCTACTTGACGATTTGTCCTCCGGTCCCAACATATCATCTGCAATATCAGTGGTGTGCACGATTTAACTGAATAAAAGAACCACTCAATCCGTGTCTTACAGCTGGTCTCTTCGTAGAGCAGTGCCTTATATTCAGCTTAAGGCAAGAAGCTTATGATACTTAGAGGTGTGAGAATCGGTATTCATTCTAAACCGTTAGCTGCTCAAATTTCGTTTTCGCCAACAGGAACAAACCTGGAGTAGCATTCGAAGTCATCCTGACAACACCGTGTCCATGTGAATAAAATTGAAGTGCCCGAGGCATTAACTGATAGTAACATCAATCTCAATTTCATGTCCAACTCCAACGCATTCATTCAAAGCGCAAATCCCAAAGGATAGAGGTCAAAAGAACTACCGCAGCATTGGCACCAGCAGCAACCAGGTTTTGAGTAGAACCTCCAATATCAAAACTCCAGAATTCCTGATTCGCTGTTCGTAAAGTTGCCACCTGCGTCGACACACCTCAACGAGCTTCATTTCTGTCTCAAGGAAAGAGTGCTTGCAATAAGACTCATTGCGGTTAAATGTAAGTGCAAGAAGAGTATGCAACGAGCTACCTCCTGCCTCAATCGAACATCCCATGCCCTCACGGTGCCATCAGCTGAGGATGAACATAAGATATGGGGTGAAGTTAAGATATGTTTGAATATATGTATGCTGTTATATATGCTTGCTGGGTTGATTACGTTTATGTTAGGGTGATTGTTGTCATGTATTGTCAAGATTTTTTTTTGTTTTCGATATAGAGAATGATCTAATTGAATAAAGCACCGTTGTCATTTTTGATTGCTGATGACGGCAGCAGTGGTAGTGAATGCTGCAAACTATCGCTGAACTGATTTAGGCAGTGACGGTTTTTTACTACTGCCTTCTAGTATTGACGTAGGTGCTGATGCTTACTGCTGCTAATGGAGATGTTGTCGTATATGTGTTTAGGAAGAAATGGTTCTGAACATTATGTATATTTTATCTGCAGGAAGCCAATGCATCAGCCATGACTTCAATGAGCAGCAAATTGACAACCAAGATTCACGGTTACAAAGAAGTATAGCAAACAAGGAAAGCAATTCCACTACAATCTTTAGTGAAGTGAACCTTCCATTCAGTGAGATACTACTAAAAATTCACCTTTTTTACGTCTTTTTGAATCATTTTTGGTATTTGAGCTTGTGTAACCTTTCTTCTGTCCTTGGGTCTTCGTCTTGCTTGAGTGGCGCTGCCAAGTTTTAAGACCAAGCAACACTCTATTCAAAGCCTGCTGGCGTGCATGGCAATATTCATTTTACTTTATTTGGGTTTTTGACCTCGTCACCCATTATTGGGTGACATTACTGAAAACCAGCTCGTGTTCCAGGGATTGGTTTAAGTTTTACCTTTAAAAAATATAATTCAATAAGGATGGTGGAGTGTGACCTCGGAGGCAGCCCACATGCGAGTTTAGGGGGGAACAAATGGGGTTTAATGCTGGTTTATCTCCGAACAAGAACACACACGGCGTAACATGGGGAACAAGTGTCTAACCAGCGGAGAGAATAAGCTTTCCTTTCTCTCCTAGTGCCTCCAGAGAGGCAATCAAATGAATTTCTGACCACATTGCTCATAATGCACACTTATCGAATAATCCGTAGCCACATGCTATTTACTGGTATAATATGTATAGAGCACACATATCACGAAGGACCAAACTTGGTCCCGAGCTTCGAGTGAACAGCCACGGGGCCAGAAATTTGGTCCACCTGATATTTGGTTGTGGTATTCTTCACGTAGCACGATTCATAACCTTGTTGTGCAATTCCAAAGTGTCACTATGACTGGGATCCACTGACAGAGCTGCCCGGCAGTCGCGCTTTGCTCCTTCAAAATCTTCATTGCAGTCATGAAAAGCAGCACGGAGATGAAGAAGTTGAAGGTCAGCCTTAAATGCGATAGCCTTGCTGAGCTCCATAATTGCTTCCCGCTCTTTGTGACCATCCATTAAGACTGATGATTACATTCAATTAACACCAATTAGATACTTTAACTGAGCTACTGAAAAACAAATATGCGGACGGGATCATTGTAACATAGCCGCTATGTCATGCTATACTGTAGATCTAGTTGTAATCCTTGAAATCCATAGCATCACAGAAGACCATACGCGGGAAACAAGAGAAAGTTAAAAACACATGCCTGCAGCTCGATATCTGTAAGGGTACGTGCGCAGAGGGTCCAACTGAGTGACCATACTCAGATCAGCCATGGTCATGTCTCGTTCACAGTACTCAGATCTCTTCTCATATGCAGAAGCATTGTTCCGGGCTTTCTCAATAAGTCGTGTCATCTCTTCATGGGCCGCCTTTCTGTCCCCTTGAAGCGCATACACACGGGCCAAGCCTTGGTGGGCTCGAGTATGACGAATTTTGAGGGCATTTACATAGCAGTCGGCGGCGAGCTTGAATTTGTTACAGTCTACGTACACACTTCCTAGGTTGTTCAGTGCCTTCAAGGAAAAATTTCACCACCACAGCAGTACAATTAGAACATCTCTCGCATGTAGCATAAACCAACTACAAAGCTGCGAATTTTGAGAAAAAAATAGCACAAGATGATGCGCCAGGGCAGGTAGAGAGAACTAATTACCTGGCCCTTGCGAAGTCCGTCTGAGGGACATTTTAGGGCTTCCTCTAACAACTCCACGACCTTGGCAGATGAAGAAGGATCCAAGCTGGTGTCTGCTAGGGCATAGGCTTTCAAAAAGAATGCTTCAAACGACCTCTGATAAGCAATAGACTCTTCTGCCTTCTGCAATGCTTCTTCACGGTGACCTGTATCATATAAAATCCAGCCTTCGTACACCAGTCGTTCGTGATCACTGCCTGCGTTGTCCCGTGCCTTTCTCAAACTACGCATGGCTGCTTTGGGGCAATTTAACCTGGTCAATCAGAAAAATGTCAGCTTCGTTTTACGATGGAAAACGTAAGCATTGTGGTTTGAATAGAGCAAACTCACCCATGGAAGGACCAGTTACAGCAAAAGAAAACTCAGCCACAATGCTGGTGAATCGAGGAATGTAGCCTTAATGATATCTTAAAATTCACAACTACATAGTACACCAGGAGCATCTAAGATTCCATACAAAGTGGACATTGAGGATGAGCATTGTGGAGCTACCGCAAGAGAAGAAGGGATTGACGAAAAAAAAGCAAGCCCTTTCTTGGATCTGATTCCAGCATTTGGTGAACCACAGCCAACGATCCAATGTCATCAACCGAAGACCACCTGTCATACAATTGCATCCAACAGTCCGCTTTGGACCACTGCTCCACGTGTTGACTCAGTAACCTAAGCAACTGATTTGCACCCACACGACCAGCATACATCATGTATGATGGGTCAAGGGTTAACAACGCCCGAACATCCCTCACAGCACCTTCGTATTCTTGAAGTGCGAGGCAAAAGTAGGCCCGAAGCTCCAAGCAGTCAGATGTGACCTTGAAACCCAAGATCCTGTTGATCTCGGTTATGGCAGCATGTACCTTCTGTTCATCCATCAGGGCGGCAGCACGGTATTTGTATGGGTATGCCAGAGTTGGATCAAGCTCGGTTGCTTTAACCAAATCTGCAAGCTTGTCCTTGTCGTCACTGCATAATGCCCTTTCCTGAAACATCCACCCACTGGGCCTGTAATTGGCAACGATAGCTGCACACTCATCATATGCAATCGCCTTTTGCCCCTTTTGGCGTTTTATTCTCGCTATTCCAGCCCATGAGTACACGTGCCCTTGCTCCACAGCAGCTTCGAAGTACTCCAGGGACTCTTGGTATTGTTTCCTAGCAAACAGAACACAACCTAGCTGATGAAAGGCAATGGATTTCTGCCTTTGGGATACTGCACAATGTCTCTGTCCATCCAATAATGAAACGGTGCGATCGGAGCACATGCTCTCCTCCAAGCTAATTTGGCTCAAGAAGGCATACAACGCAAACGAAGAATGGCCAACCCTAGCAAACTTGGCCCGCCCTTCAGCAGTACAAAGCGTATCTATAATCTGTCGGTGCGCCTTGAGAGAACCCGGAAGCTCACGAAAGAACACCTGCAAACAAGCTCCTACTACAGCTTTCGCGCATTCCTCCAAGGCATAGACAAAAAATGTCATAACGTCGTCTCCACTTCGAACAAAAGTAGCCAGATTTTGATCGCAAGCATCCTTCAGGGTGTCGCAACAAAACCTGTTTGCAAATGAAAGTATCTCGAGAAGCATCTCTGGCGAAAGTCGTGCTAGTCGACCAGTTTTACTAAAGTGATCCACAGCTCTCATCCCTGTCACTGAGATACCATTCTTGGAGAACCCTATATCACACATTCGGGCTTCTAAAAATACCCCGTTCAGCATAGTATTAAAGGGCATTGACAAGCCAGCTATTTTCTCTCTATTGCATGGAACTGCATCTCCACCTAAATGAAAAACTATATCGTTAACAAAGCTGTTGTAGGGTCTGTACTCTCCCGCTTGAGAACTGGTCTCGCCAGGCGGACAACGACAGGCACAAGGATCTGTTGGAAGGTCGACAGACAACCCTGGAGTAAGGAGAGTCTGCAGGCACTCCAGTTTCCGACCACTACAGAAATTAGGACTCCCATCGTTCAGTTCTTCGTCACGTTTTTCATATTTCAACCATGCTGCATAAACGAGCTTCTCATGCACGGTAACAGCATGCTGTCGGGCTGAGCGGAGGCTTCGTCGGAGAAGCTTAGTCTCACCAAGGCCACGGAACACACAAGCTTGCTCTAGGTAAAGAGTGGCCTTATCTACCTCAGCCGCTGTTTCCAACTGCTCGTAAATCTCAGCTAAAGTATCCACGTAATCCACAGGCTTGAGGTAGGGATCTAAAGGAGGGTCGCTCAACTTTGAAACCGATGAGCTGCAAGGACATGAATGAAAGATCAAAAACCTCTACACAATTCATTATCTGGCACTGAAAAAGTACACAAAGAAGTCTGTTGGGACTTGCATGAAGGAACATGCAAGTCAATGCAGTTACAAACTCAACTCCAAAAACAAAATAAATAAAAAAGTGGTGAACCAGGAGTTGAAAGAAACCTGGACGATTGCACAGAGTCTTCATAAGACAGTTTATCTCCCTTCCCGGTACTACTTTGACCAGGATAAGCACTAATTTTGTCGACAGGACACACAGCATGCACTTGATTGCTCCCTCGGCATCCATCTGCTATCCTCAAGGTTCTCATTTTCGGTGGGCAAAGCCTAATAAAAATGCAAGGCCCCTGGCACCTGATACATACGTGCAATGCAGGGTTGAACACCTCGTACTCATATTTGTTACAACCCCATTCTTACAGAAAACAAGCCATAGCCTCCAATATGAAAGAGTTGCCTTGGGTTGTCCTGCATGATCTCGGTAACTCCAGCTGAAAAGCTTCACCCAAACTGAAGTCTGCGACTGATCAGCCCTGTGTGATGCTAAAGGTCATCGTCATAAAATCACTCACTAAAGGATCATCCAGTGCCTCAATCCAGGCATGAGCTGTTTCGTCCTTTGACTTTCTACTTATGCAGTGATAAAAACAATTTCCCAACCTTAAGCTCCCACACCACACATCATCGGCAGGATCCTGAGTTAGGAGAAGACATTTCCCCCGACCCTCAAACGCAGGTTTTCCAGGAATCTATAAACCACGCTTGCAGAAGCAAACTGCTGTTGGGTGCAAACGCTTAAATACAAAGAGGACAACACCTGGAAATCACAAAATTCAGTTAGGTCTACAGCTATACGTGATGGGATTACATTGTGAGGTGGACGTCTATGAATCTCTGCTTAGAACAGAAAGTAGAGTGAAATGACGATGCTGAGATAAATATGGAATAGAAATAAAGGTCTCATTGGAGATTTGCAGCATGTGACAAATCTGATGTGAAGAATTACAAGGTCTAATCCAGTCAAGCTGCATGCAACTCCCAAAAAGCTTCGCTAAAAGATGAAACCTTGGGCACACAACAGATCGCAAGAAGGCAAATAAAACTGGCCACATTGATCGATGTCAGCAAGACAGGACCCAGCCTAAGTAAATTCGACGTGTGAGGAACGGTCAAAGATTGACACCGATTGCCTCGTCCACATGAGCAGCCTGTGCGAACCCCTATGAGATGCAATACATAGATTTTGACATGCCAGTAACGGGAATGCAGAAGGTTCCTGATCATGTGTATGTAGACATCCTTCTCACACAACTCAGTTGACATTCCAGAGCCAGGCGCACATCGAGTATAGTCCCGCACAGAAACAACTCGCGATGCAAAACATGCGTAATTTACAGACAGTTTTCCCACCTTGCCCTACAGCGGTAGAGATTGCGGTCGTCCCCAAAGCTCCAAACGCAGATTAAAAACACAGAATAGTTCGCAATCACTCTTGCCCAACATCGACCCGCAAACCCTGATAACTTCTCCACTCCATCAAAAGTGCCCACTACATGTAACAGCGCTGCAAGCTCTCTCCTCCCATTCCACATCAGAGCTTTCTACCTGCGGTCTTCATCCGCTACGCCACACCACATTCTCCGAATCACTACTCGCGACTCCTCCGATGCTCTTGCTGAGTCGACACACCGACTCCCAACACTCCACTACACACACGCCCAACCTCGGTTTCGGCCACCTTAACCGAACTCCAGGGAAACAAAAGCAACAAACCCACCACTCCACTTCGATACTACTGTAGCCTACGCCACTCGCAGCAGGGGAGGGAGGGACGGAAGGGGACGACGCATGGGACAACAACGACAACAAAAACAAAAAAAAAGCACCCAAAACTCCAGCAGCACCCACTTGGTCCTTTACCACCACTTCAAGCTCCGCAATTTTTTTCGCGGTAATAGCTGGATTTCGGCGATTGAAAGTCGCCTGGGCACAGAGTCCAATGCAGAATGCGAGTTGCACCGATCCCAAACGGCGATAAGTGGCGAGTGGATCGCAGATTCCTCCAGCAACATCACAACACACACCTCAAGATTAGTTTTGTGCTCTCTCGCTTCTAGGTTTTCTCGACACTCGCGAAAGAAGAGAAGAGAACAGAAAAGAGCGAGCGAGCGGGGATTCAGTCCCAGCCCAGCAAATGAGTCCACGTCTCCCACACTCCACGGCCGCACCGCTCGCTCTATCTTTTACTCTCCCTTCCCATCTTTCCGCACCGAGGGCTCCGATCTCCCCTTATCTTTAACCATCTAACGGTCCACGGCTCCCTTCTTCCCCTTTCACGCAGGTCTTCCACAGCGTTGGCCATGTGCGCCCCCTTCTCCACGAGTCCTCTGCTTTTCCCGCTCGGGAACGTCATCATGGGAACGTGACCGGGTATAGTAACGGAGGGGGGAGTTATTATTGGGGAACTCATGTTCCCACCCGACCCCACCCCTCCTTTTGCTCATTCAATTCCCCCAACCCCACTAAATATATCTGTATATATATATATATATACACATATAAAAAAATCCTTGCCACAATTTAACTCAAATCGACTAGGGGAAAATCACTATTAATCTTTGTTATCCATTGCTCTCATGTGTTCTCACCACTTTTTCGTTTCTTCTACTTTTTCCTTTCTTGTTCCGCTTTTCTTTTGCCTGTTTCCCCTTAATATTGCTACTCATTTTCAGAACGGAGTTGGGGACTAACAGGTGTAAGTCGAGGGTCAAAGGCTGGGTAGAATCTCACTTTACTCCCATCATCACCCCCCCCCTCTAACTCACTGACAAAAGTAACTTTTTGGTTTACTTTATGGCATCACTAACTAAAAATTAACACAACGAAGACTTTTTTGTTCAGTAAACATCTCCTTTCATGGGAAATCACTTCATTCTCAATCTTTTTCTTTTACTGCCCTGGCCGCTCTAAAGATCTCAATGGGCTCTGCATTCAGGGCACTTAACTTTACTAGTACTTTTTCATGGTGAGAATTCATGTCCCCCCCTCTACTTTCATGCATTACGTTTTATTTTAGTTTTAATGTATCAACGACAAGAAAGTGAGTCATTCGAAAGAATGGTCCGAGTGTTTTTTTTTTTATTATTATTTTCCTTTTTACTGCCTGGCCACAAACAGACTCATGAGTGTTTGGGCAGGTTCAGAAAATTTGACCAGACTGACCCGTTTTGAGTGAAGCTGCAGCAAACTGCATGTATCAGAATGAATTTGTGTGTGTGGGTTCTGGTTCTGTGGATGTTACGCTTAGATTATGACTATATTATGGGTACCTTAAAAGTAGTGCAGAGGAACTCAATATATATATATATATATATATATAGATATAGTTATGTGTTTATATAATGTATTTTTCCTTTCTTTGTAGTACTAAACTGTGGAAATAAAATATAAATTTTTTAAAAAGGTGGAAAAGAGAATTAAAGAAAACATTAACTTCTTAGTATTTTTTCTTGTGAAAACAAGAGAATTCTTTGTTATTTTTACACAGAGAGAGTATGATAATCTGGATGAAGGAGAGGCTGTTTTCATTGACTACAAACACTCAATGATACTCTAAGAATATCAACTTCAATACCTTTTTGGAAAAATTAAACCCAATTATAGGATGCACACACTAAAATTAAATTAAATTAAATTATTTTAAAAAATCACTTAAGATCAATATTTTTTTACTATAAATTTCACATGGGAAGATAACATGGTTTGATATTTGTGAGGCAATGCATTATCTTTAGTGGCTTCATTAAGGAGCAAACAATGATTTGTAAGAGTGTCAAAAGGTCATGTCTTCATCATCAATTATTAGAGATAGTTTGGCAATTAAAAACATTATTCCTAACTTGATTTAGGAATTTGTTTCAACCATTTGATTGAACTTATGTACCCTAATGTCATTTAATATTTTTTTTTACAAGAAGGTATATTAGAGTCTTACCATTCTTTATTCTTTTAAATATGATAGGCACAAGGACTTCCACTTGAATGCTATACATGCTAATGATTTAGATCTAAAGATGGAATCCAAAATTAATATTGACATGAGACCATCTCCTAATCTATTAGTATTCTCTCTTTTACTTTATTTCATTTAAAAAAAATGCAACCTTGTTTTCTTCTCACTTATGCAATAAAGAGCATGAAAAAAAATAAAATCGGCCTATGTCTTATCATATCTTTGATTATTTTTATTACTATTTTCAGTTCAAGGTATTATCATTTAATCAAGAGTTACTAGGTTATTTTTATTAATACATTGTTTTAAACAAGAGATAGAATGTATATGTGTATTTGCATATGTAAACACGAGCCTTATATCTAAAATAAGCTAACTTGTTATAATTTTTTACTGTTATACAAAATAGAACTTCAAAATATTTTACTTTCATGCTTTATTTCTATGTTCTTCATTTAAATCACATGTTGAAAATTATTATTGAGCCTATTACAAAATGATCAAATATACATATGCATCAATGTGAGATTACATGAAAAGCAAAAAATAAAAAAAATAAAAAAAAATGCAAGTTTTCTTATATCAGACATATCACACACACTTGACGAAATTAAACATAACACGGAAGTGAAATTTTTGAATTTAACTCATATGCAAAAATTGCAAAAATAGTGTTAATACTGCTGGCTATCTTTCACCTATTGAATAACTACCTAACAATACAGTACAATATTCCAGTCAAATAAGTAATACCAGTTGTTACCAACTTCTGACAATTGCTGATTAAGCTGCAAAAAATAGAAAATAAATAATACAAGGCATGTTAGAAGGAACATAAGGATAAAGTAAATTGAATCCACCAATAATCATCAAAAGAATATTCAAAAATAAAATATATATATATATATATATATATATATATATATATATTTTACTTTGGATTTTTTTAGTTGTATAATTAACCGTGGTTATCTATATTATGTAAGATAAAAGAAAGGTTTATATATATTTATTTATTTTTATTTTTTAAAAAGTGAGAAATAAGAAATCAAGTACCATAAAACAATTAAATTCTCTTCCAAATGTTTTAAGAAAATCATCTAATAATTTATTTTAGAGAAAATCTTAGTGGACTGTAACAACTTGATTGATTCCAAGAACAACTATTGTATCGATAGCTGCAAAAGAATTAACATACATAAACCAAAAAAACCAACTAAAATATTAAAAAATTACTAAATTAAATTAAAAGTGTGTAATATTTAAACTATAAATATTTAGCAATTTTTTTAAATATTAATTTTAATCTAAAATAGTTCAAATACTATATTTCTAGTGTATAGAAAAAAATTATATAAATATATATATTAATTTAAATATATAAAAAAATTCACTTTTCTAAAACTCTAAACAAAAAAACAGAAAAAAAAATTAAAAGATTTGTCATTATTCTTGTTGATTGCAAATTTTAAAATAAGAAAAAAACTATTGTTTAATAATTTCTATAATTTTATTTTAAGTAGAATAAATCTAAAATTATAAATATTGATAGTAAATTTGAAGAAAAATAATCACAAAACTTATTATAAAACATCTTAACAAATTCATCCATCTTATTTTTATAATGCTAGATAATTTCAAATCTATATAAGGAAGTTTTTAATACTAAATATGTAATTAAGATTATCATTATATTATATAAGCATTTAAACTTTGAATTTTTTTTAATATTAATAATAAGATATATTTGATTTAATAAAAATGGAATCGCATATAACTTTATATATAACAAGATATCTGTAAAATTTAAATTTAAACACAATAAATTATACAATATCAAATAATATATAAAGATTAACTTATTTATTGACACTATTATTCACATTTGTTCTTTCTATCAATAAAACAATGTTTTTGCACAAAATTTTGGTATCTATAAAAAAGTGTATTTTTAGTATACTAAGTTTAAAATAAATAAAATTAAAACAATTATAATCTTCTACATCTCTTTTAAATCTAATACATTTGATAGTAAATAAGAAATTTAGTAATTTAATGTAAATATAATATATTTTTATTATCTATATATGTACATATTCATTAAAATGGTTCTTTCAAAAAATTGTTAAAACCAAATTATAATTATATATTTATAAAAAATAAAATAATATATATATATATATATATATATATATATATATATATATATATATATATATATAAATTTTAAAATGGTACGTTTCTTTCAAAAATAATTTATAGGTTATTTAATTATAATTTAAAATATTATATTATATATTTAATTAATAAAAAAATAACTTTCTAATTAATTAAAAAGATTATTATTAATATATGGATATAATTAAAAATAGCTATTTGTATAAAATTTATTTTTTAATATATTTATATCAAGTTAGTAAAAATAAATTTACAAAATTAATTTTGTAGGATTTTATCGTTATTATTACTAATTAATAAATAATAAAAATACAATTTAGGTAGATCAAATATTTATTTACTTTAATACTTACACTAAAAAATCGTAGTTTCTATTTCTTATTGTTTTAAAATAAAATTAAGTAGTAGTGAAAAATTCTAGTCTATGATTAATTGATCATTTCTATTTATGAAAAAGAATATCATCAATAATATTATTTTTACATATATTATGTATGTATATAAATATATATGTAATTATTCTTTATTACTTCATTAAGATATTATATTCCATTATTGAACATATAATATACTAATATATATATATATATATATATATATATATATATGGCAAGAGAGAGAGAGATCTATTTGCAAAAATAGATCCTTACATTGCTTTAGAAAATATTTCAAACCTAAAAATATCCTGTAAAATTATAAAAAACTGGGATTTTTTTAACATTTTTGGTAATATTTATTCTTTTATATATCTTATGGAGTAAGTGTTTTGGATTATATCCTAATTAAAAAACATCAACATATAAATTAATGCTTTAAAATTTAGAAAAGAATTAACACAAAAAGATCTAATTATAATTATTCTCATTTTCTATTTGAAGTTTAATATTGTTCTTCTTTATTTAAATTATTTATTTTATTTTATATATTTTGTCCACAGAAAGAATATATTTTTATGTCTCTAAGATAAAATCTTTTTGAATGTT